CAGTGGTGTGCATGTTCCAAGCACATGAGAGTTATGCAGTGGTTTGCATGATCCAAAGAATGTTGCTTTGGCATTGCTACGTTATACATGCACAGCGTAGGGGTCCAATTTTGTGGACCGTAGCGACGTCTCCATGTAATCATGTATGCGTGCTTGCTTGACCGGTGTAACCTGGGAAGTTGAAGAATTCGGATGGTGGACGCCGATGCTTCATGGGTTGAGGTTCAGTGTTGCCGTTACAATTGTAGCTACCTCAAGACATATGTGGCAACAGAAGCACCAGCATTCAAGACGACGAATTTTTCTTTGCACTATATTATATTCAGATAGTGGGTCAGTGAACAACGGATGTACAGGAATGTCACGTTGAAGATAGGACGTAAATCCCATCTGAACCCTCCGCCCTATCCAAGCCCCCAGGGCTTTCAGCCCGAAGCACCAAAAACCCGACCCCGGCGCAGAAGCGTCGACGGGAGCCTGTCCCCGTCCCGGCAATGCCTCCGGAGGCTGGAAATCAGGGTTGAGGTGCTCCCCAAAAGGGTGTGCCGTCCTTTACGGCTGGTGGGGATGGGATCGAAAGGCGCGGCTTCAGAGGCGCAGCCCCCGGTTTTTGTGATGTTGGTCTCTGAGCGGGCAGCAGTGCGCGCCTGAAACTCAGACAGTCTGCCGTTTCTGCTGCCTTGTGTCGGCTCCAGCGGATCTCTTAGCTTAGTTTGGTGGAAGGCCCAGAAAGCCAGATGTACTTCAAGTTTGTTATTCTTTTCGGGTGTTTTTGGACGTGGAGAAGCGCCTACAGCCGCGATCACACAAGCACGGTCAGCATGGCAGAAGCCTGGGCCCAACTCCAGGACGGATACTTCTCACGTATTGACCCCGGATCGCGCTTATGCTACAGAACTTTTCACTACATATTACAGTAGAAGGCAATCAGCCCTGGTACTGGTCATCGTCACCCACGTCATGCTCCGAAGTCCCCACTGTCCCCACCTGTGGGTACTAAGCCCCCTCTGCGGCAAGAGACACGGTCTGAGTGATACGGCGCCCCGCGGGAAGACCTTGCAGCCGAGATCCCGGAAGGTTCTCTGCCTTGTGGCTTTGGCTTGAGGTTTGGGGGCTTCAGGGTTGAAGGGCTTTGGGCTGGAGATGGCGTCCGAAATTTATTCGAAGCGGACGAACTGTGAACCCCGGACAAGGCTGGAGGGGAGGGTAGGGTGCGAATCCCTTAAGCCCTGTTCAGCCGAGCTTTCTGACTTTACCCTAGCTGGATGGAACTGGGCCTTCAACAAAATCCGAAGCCCTACAAACATAAACCCCAAAAGCCCTACAGTAAACCCTAAATCCAAAACCCACCAAACCCCATGCCTGCCCCAACTGCAGAAATCCCGGAACCGAAAATTGCCAAGGCCATGGTGGAGCTCATGGCAACGATGGGCGCAGCCGCCAAGGACGACTTACCGCTGGGGTGCATTTAGACTTGCAGCAAGGGGGAGTACCTGATTTGGTGTCCGCATTAAACTAAGGTTCTGTATATCAGGATTTCCCTGTCGTCTGAAGCTCCCACGAAGGACATGGCACGCTCATGATATTGTTGCTTTGCAAAGCATGGCTTTGTTTGGAAAAGAAGTATTACATGATTCAGGGCACGGTATGCCACCGGATCAGAGTCCAGTGTGTGATTTACGAGTTTGAGTTTGAGAGCTTTGGGAGGCAGTGTTTCAGCTCTGATCTGGGAGGAGCTCTTTGATTACAATCGTGAGATGTACGAGTTCGATCAGGCCTGCCGAAGCCGACGCGGGAGTTTGGGGTGCTGCCTCTTGGATCTCGGGTTTTCGACGATAAAAGTTATAGAGGATAAGGAGCTTGGGGGCGGGTTTCTGAGGGTTGCGGGGAGGGGAATCGCCTTACACGCGCCGTTCGCTGCAAGAGTTCTGACGGCTCTTGTATGGTGATGTGACCGAACTTCGAGAGAAAGTGCCGTCGAGATTCGTAGATGCTTCGGAGAGGCAGAAGTTTCATGGTCTTCGCTGGGCTTCGGCGACTGCGTCTTTGCCTGCCCGCTTGCTTGGCCTTGCTTGTGGGCTGGGTCCGGTGGCCCTGGTGGCGGTGTTTCAGCCTTGGCCTTGTGCGGAGCTACGAGCCTCCGAGCTTCGAAGCGCACCACAGGCAACGCAAAGCTCTCAGGCGAAGGCTGGCGAAAAGGGAGGACGTCGACGTGCCCGCTTCCGACTTGGAGGAGCTCGAACTGGAGCTGCCGACTTTTGAGGAGAGGAAGTGGAGGAAAGCTCCATCGTCCTGGCCGGCGGAGGTTGCGGAGCTCTTCGTGCCGCTGGGCCCACACACTGCGGCCACTCGCTTCGTGGAGACGGCGCCGGTGGCTTCCTGGCTCCCGGCCACGTTGTACAACGTGCTTTGCGAGCTGCCGGTGAACGAGTTCGACCTTCAGGCGTGTCTCTACCCGAAGGGCTCCCACCTCTTCACGGCCCCACAACTGCGAAAGCTGCTGAAGGCCGCAAAGGCCGCCGCGTCCGGTCGGGTGCTGGACGTGGGTGCAGGCGACGGCTGCCACACTGCGGTGTTTCGCATGGTGAGCGAAGAGGTGGTCGCCACGGAGACGTCGCAAGGCATGGCCTGGCAGCTGGAGAGAGAGGGCTACGAGGTGTGGTGCGAGGATGTCTCCGAGACTTTCGCGGCGCGGGCGCAGCGGACACGGCGCTTCTCGCTCGTGTCGATGTTGAACGTGCTGGACCGGTGCACTGCTCCCAGGAAGCTCATGGCGGCCGCCAGAGGGCTCTTGGAGCCAGGAGGCTTCCTGCTGCTGGCCAGCCCACTCCCCTTCGCCGCTTCCTACTACGGCCCCGAGACCAGCTGGAACGGCCAACCTTTGGAAGACTTGAGCTTCACTGGCAGCTGGGATGAGGATGGGCTGAGACTGGTGCAGGAGTTCCTACCTAGTTGTGGATTTCATGTGAAGGCGGTGAGCAGGTTGCCTTACCTCTCGGGTGGGGATGTTCTAGACGGTGGCTGTATTGAGCTGGATGACATCGTCGTGCTGGCTCAGAAAGCTACGCACCGAACTTAGCCGCATCGGCATCACGAGCATGAACGGGCATTCGGCGCTCAGAGCCACCGACCTGAGCTTCGAAACAACCGGGACACCGATTGCCAAAAGAGCCTGCAATCTGGCTGGGATCTGAAAAGGACATAGCTCGTTCAGACGTCACAGGCGCTGCGGTGCTACGCGAGGGTGACAGCAAAGACACTACCGACAAAAAGGTAGGCGAAGGAGACCAGTGTCCTGGCTCCAGTTGGTGCTTCCCGTCCACACCCTGCAAGGGGCACATGCCAAAGTGACGTGCGTGATTTCTCGCAGACGTTGTGGTCAGAGTTCATCATGGTGCTGTGCTTTTCCACCATGCGTTGGGTACTTTTTGTCAGAACCCGCGTGAAGTGCACAAAGCACCCCCCGGCGTTTTCGATCTAAAACCCCGAACCCCAACACGAAAGACTGTTTCTAAGCCCTGAGCTCCAAGCCCTAAACCTCCCATGCAGGGGCAGCGTCTGGATCGAGAACTGCCAGAGCTTCAGCACACGACTGCCTTCTGAAGCGAGAAGTTCGAAGTTTAACATCTCAGAAAGTAAAAGTAAACCACAAAACAAGGAGCCCTGAATGGCTGAGGCTGCGCATGGAGATGCAGATCAAACGCTTCCAGCTCTTCCGAGAGGCCCCGGCTTCTGTCAGCAGTTTCCCGCCACAGTTTTGCTGTTGGGGGGGGGGGGGTCCGGTCGCAAAGGATTCTATGTCATGTATGTAACACGCAAGGACATATATCATATAATCATACATTGTTGTTATTAGATATTGATACATAGATAGATAGATACTTAGATAGATAGATATAGCTGTGATGGATAGATTGACTGGTAGAGAGGTAGCTAGATAGAGACAGAGAGAGACAGACGACAGACAGACAGACAGA